TACCATCACTGGAGATGCCCCACGGCCTTTTGCTCAGTTCCCTGGTGGATAAGCATTTAAGCTTGAGATGTCAAGTTGACACGAACCCTAGGCTGCTGTTTTCATTGGCTGCCAATCTTCCAGTAACACATTTTCTTGGATTAAACTTGTGTGAATGTTCTGTGTTATTGCCTTTTGAAGTGATGAAGAAATAGTGTACGGTAAACCTACTTCGCAGGAGATGGTTGCTCTACTCCAGATTCGCCTTCACTTAACAACAGAGGCTATCTTTTTAGGACAGTTTATAGCTTTTTTGAAAAAAATTGAGAAGACAATAAATGTGCTTGTGCAATTTCCTCTATTCTTAACATTTTGTTAATGTACTACATACATTAGAATTCATGAACAGAGCTTTCATTATTATTAACAAAATTCCAGTTATTCAGATTCTCTTTATTTCTATCCAATATCTCCCCACTCCAGGCTCACAAGTTCAGTGACTATTTTTACTGCTGTGCTCATTCACATTGTGATAGACGCCCAACAAATCCTTGTCCCCTTTCCTTTTCTTTCCTGTTACTGAATCTTGTTCTTGTATCCTCTTCTCAGGAGGAAGGGAGGGTGAAGCTCTACCTGAAGTCTTAGCACTTGAGGGTAAGAGAGGTGCCCTGCCCCTGACTGTGGGCAGGTAGGTGGGATGGAGGCTCTGCCTCAGGATTAGCAGGAAGGTAAGATGCAGGGCTGGTGGAATCTGAATGGTTACCCTTGAAGTCAAAGCTACGGATTCAGAGTCCAAGCTACTTTGAGCAACAGACCACCGAGCAGAAATTGCCTCAGGATGAGCCGGAGAGATATGTCAGCCAAGGTTGAAGGTGCAGCCTCAGCTGCCTTGTAAAATCCTCTGTGGCTCATGCCCTTCAAACAGGTGCTGGCTGCTCATTATAGCCACCACTTTTGTGCATTGTGGTGTGAGTGCCATTTCCTTGGTTTGGTTCTTAGTTGGTCCATGGGACTGGAGACACATGTAACTGTCTTGCAATCACTGGGTGATAGAAACCTGCGCACCTCTAGGCTGATATTGTGTTTTTGACCAGGATAGATAAGCTCTTGCCGTGCTAGGTAGACCCAAACTCGGGACTGTGGGATGGCAGAGATCATAGGGGAATGATCATCTGTAGGGGATGTGAGGCCTACAGATTGTCACACAGGGAAGGTGAGTGGCCTGACCTACTACAGAAACCTTCCAGAGAACTTGAGTGAGAATGGCTTCCAAATGATCCTGTCTGTTGGATGAGATGGTGTTGGACACAATGGGTAATTCTGATTCTTTTAGAATGGACATTATTGTGCATCTTTCTCTTCTCTGTGGGATTTACAAATGAAAAATTCATCATATATTAAATATGGCACAGGAGATTCCAAAGGAGACTTGGCAGATTTTATGTTTTTCTTATGGCTTAGCTACAGAAAGAGGGAAGAGTAGATGTATAGGGACTGAGGGACACTCTTAATGCGTCCTGCTTGCCTCATAGAAGTTTAATGCAAGGCCAGGACTATGTCTACACTGTATGTAATCACAAAGCTACACTTTCCTCCTCTGCTGTGACTTCTCATTTTCATGCCTTTTCCTTCATTGAATCTTGGTCAGTTCATTCCAAGCAAGCTTCAGATGGTGCAGGGGAAATTAGCTCCTAAAGTAATAATGGCTCAGAAACCTAGCGCAATGTAGCTCTTTAGAGTCAAACAAAGAATACTTAGGACTTAATGAAATATTGGAAAAAGTAGTCCTAATTGAAAAACAGATTACAAAAAAGGAGATAATGAAATATCATAAATGGAAAAGCAGAGTACAGGGTGGCCGTGGCTGGCAGAATAGATATTTGATGGGGTGGGCGGAGGGCTTTCGGGTGTGACTGCGGCAGGCACGAAAAGGGGCTGCAGCCGGGGCCACGGCACTCAGGAAAGAGCTTATTTTGGGCAGTGGAGTCCTGTCAGATTCTGTCTGGAGGCACGGGTGAGGCAAGCTCTTGTTATATAGGTGAAGCAGAGTCCAAAATCAGAGGGCCCCTTATCCTTCACATTCATAGCTAATCGATTTTCATCAAGGATGCCGAGCCAAACCGATGGGGCAAGAATACTCATTTGAGCGTGTTGCCCTGGGACAATCAAGACAGCTGCATGCAGAAGGCATCCCTTCCTTAGGTCCAGCACAAAAATAAAGACAGAATGAAGTGTGGATTTTTCTTTCTCCAATTCCCCAGACCATAATGTGACCGTTATGTACTACCAACATATATTAATTAAAAATCCTAAAAAATTAAACTACTAAGTAAGAAATAAGCTCACCACGATAAGCAAAGTCTAGGCTCTGAGAGTCTTTGTAGCAACTCATCAAGCGTGAAGGGGTGTTCAGAGGGATGTTTCATTTATGGCTGGCCAGTGGATCTTCCAATTGGCACCGGAATGGAGCTGAGGACCAGTCAGCCTGGCTCCCGCTGTTGTCCCCTCTCCTCTCTCCAGCAGGAGCGCTCTTCACTGGCCCTCCCAGGGCTGCTCCATCTCTGTCATTCAGGGCTGGATGGTGTGGCGGCTGGGGACAGGCACCTCTGCGTTTAGTAGCTGTGTCACTCTGAGCGCATACATGTGCTTGTCACGCCTTACTAGCCAAAGATGAGATAAAGGGACAGAGGTAAACTCCGTGAACAGTGCTCAGCACAGAGGAGGCACTCAGTGCTTGAGGACTTTCTGTCTCCAGAAGTCTTCTGACCCTACAGAAACAGCCTTGGCCCGCCCATGCTCTAACTCCTTCCCTCCCTCCCTCCTTCCTTCCTTCCTTCCTTCCTTCCTTCCTTCCTTCCTTCCTTCCTTCCTTCCTTCCTTCCTTTTTCTTTCTTTCTTTCATTTTTTCCTTGCTGTACCGATGACTACAGACAGACCTGGAGCCCGGGAAACCTGTGCGTCACAAACCGAGCTCCTCACCTGCGGGTGCGGGGTGGGGGAGCTGAGATGAGCAGGTGTGAGGAGGGTGGGGTACACGTTGGGCATCTGGTTTATGCGTCCTTTCTAAGCACAGCGCCGGGGTTCTGTCTGATGTCTCCCCCACGTCCAGACTGCGAACTTCTGGCAGGCACAGTGTTGGTTGCTTCATTTCTGTCCCACTCTCTCTCCCAAGCACCCAGCACTAGGTGGGCCTGGCCACGGACACGGGTCAAATTCTAGAGAAATATCAATATTAAGGAAGGGTTGATATTAAAATGTACAAATACAGGTAGCTCAAATATTACGGCGACTCACGTGTCTACCAACAATGGATGAATAAGACAAACTCTGATACATGTAAGCAAGTACTAGGTACTCATTGATGCCAGGCTGGTGTTGATTAATCGCGTGAGGAGATTTCGATGGCATAGCATTCAGCGAGAGGGTTGTTGCAGGAGACCTGTGGAAGGACAGACCCTGTGTATTAGCACTATGTGGGCGCATTGTGTCCCTGGCGGTACACAGTTGGGGTGAAGAGGATGCAGCCTGAGGTGAAGAGGTGCTTCCCTTGTCACAGCCATCCGTAGGTCAGAGACGGAGGTTCTTTTAAGAGACAGATTATTACCCAGTGGTTGTCCAAGTGTGAATCATATTGGTGTTAATGATAGGATTTCAAGGCTTTAATTTTAATGTTGTTTCTTGATCATAGGTATTGGAATAATAGACATTTTCCTGATTATAGCTCTCAACCCCTGATTAACTAATTTTCTTGGGCTATAGTCTCGGGGGAATAGTGGCTGAGTGAAAGGCACTCCGTGAAAACCTCTGTTGCTCTAGCTTGACAATAGCCAAGTTCTTTCATTAAAAAAACAATTCGAGCCATATTTCTAGTCTGGAAATTGAAAGCTGCCTGGATAGCCATGCTTTCTGTTGAGAACATTTTTATATTGAGTAGATGAAGGGACACTTAAGAAGTTATTGTTTTGGCACTGGGACCTTCCCAGCACCTGCCCACTGTTTTCTGTCCCCCTCACGGGGTGTAGTTGGGTCACCTGTCCTTTGGTGCTCCCTTTTGGGAGATGCACTCAGCGGCCCATGTGGCCCCGCCCAAGGGACCTGCAAGTTCTGAGACTGGCTGAGTGGAAGGGGCCACCCAGAAAAACTCCTGTGCTGCAGTAAGCTGGGGGAGGGAAGCTCAACTGTCACTAGACAGCCCGGGTGGCATCTGTATCTGTCCCCCCCAAGAAAATCATCCTGCTGGTCTGGTTCCCCTCAGAGCAGTCCTTCCCACATTGCCCTGGGTGTTTCCTGAGGAACGGATTTGGTTTTCACTTCTCTTTCACTTCCCACCCATCACCCATCTCATTAAAAACCCTCCTGTCCCTTCTTCCCATGCACAGGATGAGGCTGCAGACCCTTTGGCTTTGCTTCCCCGGGGCTCTGGAGCCCTGAGTCCTCTAACTGTGCTTGATGCTCCCTGTGGACCCCACCCCTGAGCAGGCCAAGTTCTTGGACCCTCCAGGTCCCCAGGCCTTGGCCTTTGTGCTTTTCTCTGCCTGGAGCACCTGGTCCTCCGTTCCCCACCGCAGCCCAAAACTGTTCAAGTCCTGACTCAGCCATTACCTCCCTGAGGAAGTCCCCTTCCCCAGTGTGCAGAGCGCGTTTGCAATGCCCAGTGGGGGCCTGACACACTGCAGCCCTTGGAAACAGCTCCTGAAGGAGGGAATGCACTCCTGACCGGAGTTTGGAGTTTCTCTAACTGGGGTGGGGGGCATTGGAAAGATGCACAGAAGTGTGTTCCTGACCCCACCCAAGCCCTGAAGCTGGGAGGATGAGCTAGCTCAGAGGCAGGGACGGATAATGAGCCCTTGTGATTCTAAGGCGCTTCATCCCCTAAACCAGCTGCATTCATCCTGGTGACGAGGGCGTGATATCATCAGGAAGGCAGTCGGGGCTCGGTGGTGCCACGGAGGAGCCTGGGGAGTCCTCTTTGGCTGTCCTAACTGGAGGCACCCGGGACCTGTGGGACACAGCTGCCTCCTGCCTGAGTCTGGGAGTCTCCGGGGCCAAGGCAGGCTGCACTGTGAGTTCTCAGCAGCCCTGCCAGACCGCAACAGGTCAGTGCCCCTCAAGGGCATGGAGGGGAGGAGCATCCCCGCTGGACCAGGCACGACTGTGGCCCCAGAGGGGTTTGGGATCCTAACTGAAAAGCAGAATCTGGGGCTTTCTCCCCAAAACATGGATTTGAGTCCAACTCTAGATCGGATGTGTGGTTTCGAAGATCCCTTAGCCTCTCTGGGTCTCATTCGCCGTCAGGAGAGCAGGGGAAATGGCGCCTCCCTTGGAAGGCCGCGTTAGGGTTTAGTGAGATCCCGCGCACACGCGCTTCTCCAGGAGGGGCGGAAGCAGTAGGCGCCGCGACTGGGACCTGCTCAGAGTCGGGGGAAGCTGCACTCCAACAAGAGAGGACTTAGCTCCTACTCTGTAGGGGGAGAGGAGCGGGAGGCCTCGGCGTCAGCGCAGGGGCTGTGGGGGCTGCGGGATTGTGCGGGCGTGGTGAGGCCAAGAGGGCGATCCATGTCCTGTCCTAAGTGCAGTGACAAGGAAAACGGCAGTGCAGGCCCGCGTTTCCTCAGCCATATGATTGTTTCCATGTCCCAGGGGTTTATTTGAGCAGGATCCCGGCTTCTCCGCATTAACGCTCCCGTGCTTTAGAGAGGACTGCGTTTCTCCTCACACTTGACTAGGGCTGACCCCTAACTCAGGGTGGACTGGAGGGGAGGAGGACGCGGCTCCTGTGCCCAGGGGGCCCTCAGTCCCTGTGAAGGGACACAGCAGTGTCCCCTGCTCTGCCAGGGGACGGTGGCAAGGAGGAGACAGCATCCGAGACGCGGTGCGGGAACTCGGGTGGAGCGGCGAGGACAGAAGGCTCTGGGAGAAGCCGTCCACCCTGCCGAGCACTGCTCAGGTGTGGGGCTGCTGTCTCCTCAGACCCTCTGCTGCCCCAGCTGCTCCACCCCTGCGTCTCCGGGTCTGCTCCTGGCCATGCCTCACACGCCGGTGGAGGAGTCCCTCTTCAGCATCATCCGCTGCTACCACCGCTACGCAGCCCGGGAGGGGGACGTGGAGACTCTGTCCCTGGAGGAGCTGAAGGCCCTGCTCATGGACAATGTGCCCTGCTTCATGGAGAGCCTGGTGTGTAGGGTCTGGGGTTGGGGTGGGAGAGAGCAGGGGACCAGGGCACTTGCTCAGGGTTGGTTGTGGGGTGGGAAGTGAGGGTTGGATGTGAGTGTTGCGGGTGCAGAGGGGAAGTGATTCCCATGAGGACCTCCGACCTGGGGGAGGGAGGAGGGCAGTAGCTGCCCAGCTTGCTTTCTTCTCCTTGCCTCCCCCCAATCTCCTGCCTTGTCCCACTCTGGCTCAGCCCTGAAACTGTCCTACCGCCCACCAGTTAATCCCTCTGCCCTCCCCCGTGCTCCCAGCCCATTCAGTCTGACCCAGGCACCTTTCTGAGCCCCTGAGAGGCAGCTCGTTCTCCTGCTCCTCTGCCATGGGCCCTGGGGAGGCTCGTTTTGGCTGTGGGGCTGCTGAAGGCCGGGCAAAGGTAAGAAGGAGCCTCCCCTTCTACACCTGTCCCCAGAATCTGCTGGACCTGGCGACGACGGTCTTCTCCCTACCAGCACAGCCCAGAATCCACAGGCTCCTTGGGAATGGCCAGCGCACCCTAGTGTCTGTGGGTGCTGCCTTCTGCCCTCTGTCCCATGTCCCCGGTCTCCGGGCCATCATCTCTAGAGGACATCAGGTCCAGCCCCTGACTCAAGGCTAGTCTTTTCCCGAAAGGCGTTCTTTTGGCAACTTCCAAGCTCTGCTGCTTGACTTTGGGGAAAAGCAGTGGGTCAGTGTGGCCTTGTGTTACAGTAGGTAGCTCTGAGGGTTCAGAGGGGAGCTGGGGCTGGAGGCTACTGTGGTTTGTCCTGCTCCCAGGATGAGTTTTCCTTACCAGGGAAAGTCCACGGGCTTGGCCTGTACTGCCCGGGCCCTGTTCCTATGGGGCTCCCAGTCCCACCAAAGTCCAGGCCCTTAGGGACAGATACCTGGACACAGGTAGGAAGCCTTGTGAAGGTGGCCCAAGGTGAGGGAAGCTGGGCCGAGGCCACTCAAGGCGAGACCCTTCCAGCTCCTCTGGTCAGTCAGCTTCATGGAGGCAGCTGGGTTACAGGAGCAGCAGGTGGTGGTGTGCACGAGGGGAGCACCTGCGAATCTGCGGGAACGAGGAGCTGCCTGCCTGGTCCCCAGATGCCTCCAGATTCAGCAACTCCCTCAAGAAACACTTCTCACGGGGCTGGGCATGGTCACGCCCACTAGCCAGGTCCGGCCAGAACTCAGTTAATTCACTGCCACTGCACAGTGTCTTCCCTATGCCCTGGTCTCCACCTGCTCCCTCTCTGGGGTGGGTTGAGCCTGACTTTCCCCATGCTATGCTATCCTCCACCTCAAATCCCTCTTTCCTCTCCTCCACCTATCCCAGCCTCACACTCAGGGCCAGATCAGGGCCAGGACATCCTGGCCAGCTCCAGTCTGATGGCTTTGTCCTTTCACTGTGCACTCTAGGTGGGTGACACAGGCAGGGTGTCATAAACAACGCCTAGGTGGCTGCCACAGCATGCAAACACCTGAGCCCACTTGTGCTGGTCCTGCTGCAGTGCTGGGGATGCAGACGTGAGGGGCAGAGGACTCTGGCCTTGGGGAGCTCCCGGTGCGGGGCTAGGGGTGATACCCTACCTTCAGGAGGCTGGCATGGGGTCCCTCCAGGCTGTACAGACAAGCAGCCAGGCTTCCGTGGCCACTGATGGTGGCCAGGAGATGTGTGTGGAGAGGCCAGGCTGCTCAGCGCTGCTCGGGGCCTGTGCAGTTAGCCCATGATCTGTGCCGTGAACTTGCTCCGTCTGCCCCTGTGCCACTCTGCTCCACTGACCTGAGAGCCAGGGCACCTCGGCCTCTTGGGCCTGGTTTTGCAGCACATATTCCCTGACTATCTGGGGGAGGAGTCGTTTCCCACTGCTGCAGTGGGGGAGGGCCTGGCGGGTGACCGAATGCCTCTTCTCAGGGCCGGAAGGACCCGTACTACATCGCAGAGTTGTTCCGGGCAGCAGACAAGAACAAAGACAACCAGATCTGCTTCAATGAGTTCCTCTTCATCTTGGGCAAGCTGGTGAAGGACTATCACCTGCAGTACCACCGGCAGCTGTGTGCCTGTTACTCTGACCAGCACAGCCTCTACTAGAGGGAGGGCAGGTGGAGCCTGTGCCCAGGAGAGGAGCGACCTGGGCATGGGCAGCCAAGGGAAAGACTCTGCTCTGTGGCTGCGTGTGTGCATATAACTGTACAAACCCTCGCATACGTGCTTCTGAGTGTGATTTGGCTTATGGTTCGGGGTATTCATCAGCCCAGGAGAAGAGGTCTTGACCCTAGAGAACGTCCACTTCCAGGGAGACATAGCTCTGGCCTCCGGCTTTCGCTCTGTGAGGAGGAGGCTCGTGCCTCAGGCAGGTGAACCTCTGATCAGGAAGCCAGGCCTCACTGGGGCTCGCCCTGCCCATGCATTGCTGGGTTTTTGAAGGTGTCCGGCTCTGAAGGCGAGCTTCGGTGAGCTCGTATTACAAGGGGACCGGTCTGGGCCCGGAAAGGGCAGGAAAGTGGGGAAGAGGGCATTTCCAAAGGAGGAAACAGCAGTGGGGACCTGTGCGTTATGTCCAGGAGCAAGAAAAGCTTTGCTTGGAAATTAGTGTCGGAGGAGAATATGCGAACTCAGTGGGAACGGGTGGGTCAGGACCAGACTCTGGAAGTCCTCAAGAGCTGAGCAGTGGGATTTAGATAACTGGACCCTGAGCAGTTGTGCAAGGAGGGGCAGGGACGGTGTGACCAGCCTCAGCTTTGGGAAACGAGCTGGGGGCAGAAGGACCAGGCCAGAGGGAGGGTCCCGTGCAGCCTGGGCCCGGGGCAGGGAGGACCAGGTCATTGGCCACACCCAGCGACGGAGGGAGGCAGTGGGCACCAGGGAAGTGAGCACAGCGTCGCCTCAGACCCCGGCTGCAGACAGCGAGAAGGGTGAAGAGGAGGTGGGAGTCTCGGGTGTGTGAGAGATGGTGCGGAGAAGGCATTGCGGGCACCTGTGCTTGGGGACACAGCGCCAAGGCGTTGTGCGTGCTGAGTCAGAGAAGGGAGCAAGAGGCTGGAGAGCTGTCAACACCTGTCATGGGCTGGTGATGAGCAAAGCCAGGAGGCTGTCAACAAGGAAGGCTTCCCGGAGGAGGGAAGTGGCGGCTCCGGTTTCCCTAAAGAAGCAGGGTGTGGGTGTGGGCCTTGGCCCCGGCTTGGGGCTGCCATGACTCAGAGGTCCATACCCTGCCGTCCCTGACCTCAGGAAGGCCGAATCCTTCAAGGGGTCTCCCCTGCCTCAAATAGCCCATGCTGGTGGCTGTCTTTTCTGAGGTTGGGTCTGGGAACAGACGTCCTTATTTCTATTAAATGGGGGGCTTTAAAAGAATGACAGGTGACCACCGCACTGCTCACCTCTGGGAGGACTCTCTCTCTCTCTCTCTCTCTCTCTTTTAATTTGTAGTATTGGGGATTGAACCTAGGGCCTTCCAGCTGAGCTGCCTCCCCGGCCCCTTTCATTTTTAAAATTTTGATACAGTAAGTAACTACGTTGCCCAGGAGGGGCTGGAACTTTCTGTGCTCCTGCCTCCGCCTCCCAGAGGGCTGGGATTACAGCAGGGCAGGAAGGGCACCTGTGGCTGGGACAGTGGCCTTGAATCTGCGGTGAAGACCCAGGCTGGTGATGCAGGTCACCCTTCCTCGTGTCTGTGAGAGTCCCTCCGGCCTGCCTCCCCGAGGAGCCTTGGGTCCCACAGTTCGTCCTGTGCCAGGGCACCCTGAGCCTCCGTGGCTTCTCGCAGCCTACTGCTGGCAATTTCTCCACCAGTTCTGCCTGGCCTGTCATCACTTCCTCGGCCTGGGTAGGGCTGTTGGGACACAAACCGGGGACTGGGCCCTTTCCGGTAAACACGGCCAACTTCCACGCCCCCAGGTTGCCCCATGGCCTTCAGGCTGATGGCAGATGCTGCCATTTCCGTGATGAGTTTGCCCATTTCCTGCCACTCACATCTTCCGGTCCAGCTTAGCACAGCTCCCCTTCTCTCCAAAGTCCCCAGAGCTGTCTGTCCGTGGGGAGTGTTTTGGGGTGGTCTGATGACAAGTCACAGTCACTGGTCAGCCCGCACAGGCTGCTGGCTGGATGCCGTCCCTCACGATTGCTTTTAGTATCCGCCAGGGAGACCAGGGGAAGACTGAGTGATGCCCCCTGCCTTAGAGTCCTTCCTCTCACTGTGCAGCCTGCAAATAGGGTAATGATACCTGCAGTGCCCATGGTACAAGGCTGCCAGAGAATCAGCTGAACTGGTAGATGTAAACACACTTTGAAAATGTGACGCTTTGCTTTAGGGTTAGGTGGTGCCTGCCAAGGTTGGTATGACAGTGCCTGGTGAATAACAGTTTTATAGTATGGGCTGATTATTGGCTCAAAACTAGTCACAACAGGAAGGTGCTTGTTTTCCTGTCTGGAGGTCCGTTCACCTCTTTTCAAGGATGTTGGACTGCATTGGATTGATGGATTTACATTCTACCTTCCTCCAAAAGTGATTTAAGATGGGTGGGTGTGATGCAAGGAATTTCCACATTAGCTAGGGAAAGACCAAAAGTTCAATTTTGCCACATTCATTCTCTCAATAAACACTCAATGAGCCCTTGGTAGGGGCCGGGTCTTGGGAGTGTGGAAATAAATGCAGCTTCCCTTCTAAAGGGACCCCTGGTCTCAAAGACAGACAGTAAACAGGTGAATCATAATTCAGCAGGGCTCATGTTGCGGTGGAAGAGCGGAGAATTAGCCTGTGTAGAAGGGGTGGAGGATGGACAAGCAAAGATGGACTTGGAACAGGAGATGCCTGAGCTGGGTCAGGAAGGGCAGGGAGGGTGCTGCCAGGATGAAGAGGCATCTGGGCAGGGACAGGAAGTGAATTCTGTCACTCGCGCGCTAAGTCACCTAAATCTGGATGAGAGGGAGGTGTGCGTCTCTCCTGGGGCCTCCGTTTCCTCATCTGTACAATGCCAATTGACCAGAACCTACCTCATAGCATTATGGTGAGAATTGACTGAATTGATGCCAGAAAAAGACCTTGGAACAACTCCTGACACGTGGCACCTGCCCACGAGTGTTAGTTGTCATTTCACTGTTTCATTGCCTGTTGTTATGGATCGTGTTTGCAGTTCTGAGCATGCTGGACACTGGGCTATGTCCAGGGCAGGCAGAGAGGCACCGTCCTGCCCTGGAGGGTACACAGTTGAGGTAGAGAATCAGGCATAGATCGGAGGAGTTACTATGGCTCCCTTGACACTGCATTCCATAAACAATGTGTAAAATTTCATGAAAATATCATGCACATTTAGAGAAGTGCACAAGTTTTAAATATTTTACCTGAATTATCAATCCTCACAAGTTAGACAGTTTAAGGTAGAAGCACTTAAAAACTTTGAAACAGTAATTGTGGTAAATTACACATAACTTCAGAGGTACTGTCTTCACCATTGCAAGTAGACATTTCAGCAGTGCTAGGTACATAGTTGTGCAGTAGATCTCTAGATCTTCATCTTACAAAACAGAAACTCTAGAGGCTGGGCTTGTAGCTCGGTGGTAGAGCAAGTACTTATCTGATGTGGTCTTGGTTCAATCTCCAGCACCTAGACAAGCAAACAAACAAAGAGACAAAAAACAAACCAGGAAGCTGGGTGTGGTGGTGCACGCCTATAATCCCAGCACTTGAGAGGCTGAGACAGGAGGATTGCTGTGAGTTTGAGACCAGCCTGGGCTACACAGTAAGTGCCAGGTCAGTCTCAACTACATAGTGAGACCCTGTCTCAAAAAACAAACAAACAAGCAAACCAAAACAAAAAACAATACCCCCCACAAACCCAGGAAAAACTACCTCCATTGAAAAATGAGTGTCCATTCCTCTCCTCTCACCCCCTAGCAATGGCCATTCTACTTTCTGTGTCCATGGACCTGACTACTCCAGGCACCTCACATGAAGTGGAATCACAGTATTTGTCTTTTTGGTGACTTTTATTTCACGTAGAATACGATTCTTAAGGTTCACCAAAGCTGTAGCATGTCAGAACTTCCTTTCAGAAGCTGCACGGTACACCGTGTGTGCAGGTATCGGCTTTATTTAGCCATCCATCTGCGGACAGACACTTGGAGTGCTTCCACTGTTTGACTTTTATGAATCACGCTGCCAAGGGCAAGGGCGCACAAACATCTTGTGACCCTGCTTTCGATTCTTTTGATTATTCTATTTCTTTTAAAGGAATTATACTATTTTTCATGGCAGCCACACTATTTTTCCTTCCCATCAGTAGTTCACAAGATCTGTAAATCCTCTGCGTCTTTGCCAAAACTTGTTACTTGCTGTGTTTTTAGGTAGCAGCCCATCTTCACAGGCGAGAGGCGATATCTCATTATGGCTTTGATTTGGACTTCCCTAAGGATTAGTGATGTTGAGAAGCTTTTCATACGCATACTGGCCAATTTTATATTTTCTCTGGAGAAGTGTCTAATTTTTTGTCCATTTTTACTGGGTTGATTTGTTGTTGAGTCCTCAGAGTTTTCTTATATTCCGGATCTTAAACCCTTATCAGATACATGATTCACAAGTATTTTTCCCACTCCACAGATTGAAGGAGCATTCTATTCTCAATCGCCTCTTAATACTTGACATAACTAAGGCAAAGAGAGGGTGAGTAACCAGCCCAAGGTCACAAAGCTATCAAGTGAGGGGGGAAAGAAGCCGGAAGGGCTGTGGAAGGAACCCGGAAGGAGCGAGGCCAATCCAGCTCGGCCACAAGGAGGCACTGGTGGTCTAGGCGCTGGCTAAGCACACGGTCAGTGGTTGTTTATTTGCATGAAGGAAGGAAAGAGGAAAGGAGTTTTCCCAGCCAAGTCATATTCTTGTCAGATCACATTCTGGAGTGAGATCCTAGGGTGCTTGTTCCGGGCTCTGACGCACCAGCAGGGGAAAGCTGAATAAGTCACTTGGCATTCTCAGCTTCCTCATCTGTGCACAGGGCAGGTTGGAAGGCCCATCTTTCTAATAGGCGCATTGGGAGGCTCTCATGAGAAATTATGGATATAAAATGCATAGTTATATGAGAAATACACCACCAAGCTGCAGGTTTGAAAGCCAGTGTTCTGTGGTGGTGGGGAAGGGTCTCTCCTCCTGAAGTCCTGGGAACCCACTGCCTCCTCTTCTCTTGTGAATAAGGCACACCTGTCTTCTCTAAAGAGCTGTGCCCTCAATTCTACACGTGGGCTCCTCTCTTCAGCCCACACTCCTGAGGGCCGAGACACAGTGACCATCCCAGGAGAGCTGGAGTCCCTGCCACGTCCTTCCCGTGCTTGGGTGCCTACTGCAAGCCAGCCTTTGTCTCCCAGGGCACAGCGCGCCTCTTGCTCAGAGCACAGTGGTCGTGAGGGTTGTGGGTTGCAGGGTAGGAAAGACGCAGCCCTTGGCAATACAGAGTTCAGCCACCCACCCTGAACACAATATCCCTAGCAATACTCCACCTTTCATTACCAAAAGCCAGCAACTGGAGTTCTTAACTTTTTTGAGGTCTTTGACTCTTTTAGGACTTTGATGAGGGCTGGGGATTTAGCTCAGTGGTTCCACCGCCTGCCTCCCAAGCACAAGTTCTCAAGTTCGATCCCCAGTACAAAAAACAAACAAAAAAAGAAATGGAAAAGCCATGGCAGAATGTTCTATGCACACACTCAGAATGCTGCATTCTGTTTAATTTCAATGTAAATAATGTGTCAGCCGCTCACAAAAACATGAGATTAGCATAGGGGTCGGGGTGGAGGGAGGATGGGCTTCCAGGGCCTTGGGAGGGGAGCACCTGCCGTGGCCTCCTGGTCTTCCACTTTCTGTACCCCCCCACCTCTCTGAAATGCTCGCTCTGTGCAGTGATTGCCACATCCACTGGGTTGGGAAACAGCAGCTATAGCAACTCTGTGAGGCCCGAGGCCACAGGCCAGCCCAGCCTACCCGCTATAAAAGGGAGCCGCCGCTCAGCCCCGCACATCCTCATCCTTCGTCAACTCTGTTTTGGGGCAGAGCTGGTGAGTGGGACTGTCTGGACCTGCCCGGAACTGCGGGCTTTCTTTCGGGAGGCTCAGGGGGAGTGGAAGAACCTTCTCTGAGAAAGGGAACAGAAGGGTCGGGGGGCCTGAGGGAAAGTTCCGAGTCCTGGAGGGTGAGAGCAGGGCAGGGGTAGGGGAGGAGTGCAGTCCCCTCACGCTGTCCACTCACTGGGCAAGGGCACAGTCATCTGCCAGGCAGGGCCTTTCTTGGGTGGAGAGAGTGGAGCCACAGGGAGAGTTAGTGGCCCTGTGTGTGTGTGTGTGTGTGTGTGTGTGTGTGTGTGTGTTGCATCCTCTCCTATACCTGCGTCTGTCTCACCTGTTAAAGACACAGCTGTCTGATGGTGCTAGTTATTTGGGTGGAAAGGCCAGGTGAAGCCATTCCTTGGGGTCTGGAGGGGCAGTGCTCACTCTGCCACTGGCAAGGCCATGGTCCCCACCTCAGGGTCCCCATGTGACTCCTACCTTCAGGTGGACATCCTCTCATCACCATGGCAACTGAACTAGAGAAGGCCTTGAACCAGGTCATTGAGGTCTACCACAAGTACTCCTTGGTTCATGGGAACCCCCATGCCCTCTCCAAGAGTGACCTGAAGAAACTGATAACCACCGAGTGTCCTCAGTACACCAAGGTGAGGAGGGGCTGGGTGTGGGCGCCCAGGGTCTGTGGTCTTTATGGTGTCCTCTCTAGGCAGCCACGCCTCAGCTTTCTCTGAGATCCTTCAGCTCTGCCTCTCTCCCCTTACACCCTTCACAGAAAAAGACTGCAACTACCTGGTTCAAACAGCTGGACATCAATGAAGATGGCGCAGTCAACTTTGAGGAGTTCCTCCACCTTGTGGTAAAAATGGGTCTGAGAGTCCATGCAGAGAGCCACAGGCATGACCAGCACTGATAGGCCCCCACGCTTGATCCTGCAGAATAATAAAGCTACCAATACCTCAGACCTCCCTTAGTCTCTTGCGTGTTTCTTTTTCTTGTGGAATGAGATTCCTAGGGTGCAGGAAGGGTTGGAAGATTCCTCGGGAGAAGCAGAAACTTGAGTCATCCTCACCTTCTCTGCTCAGAAGCCTTAAGGGCTTCGCTGCACGCTCTGCAAACTATTCTTCTCCTCTTCCAACCCCAAGGTCCCAAGTCACTGGTTCTAGGATCTAAGGGTTTAAAAAGGCCACAGCACCATAGCTGTTGTTTACTGGTTCCCAGGTATGTGGTCTGGGACTCCTTTGGAGTGATGTTAGAAAAAACTGAAACCATTCTCTAAGCTGAATTTCAGTCTCCAGCAAAAAGGCTTCAGATGATAAATGTAACTGTATTGTTTGCTTTAAATGTACCAATAAACTTAATGGGGAAAAATAAATGAAGCACTTAAAAAAAAGCTTTAGATGTGCCTCTTGGGAAACTGGGGAGATAACCACAAGGTGGGTGGGGGGAGAGGGAGAGAACACAGAGAGAAACACAGCCAGAGCCAAATAGGCTGATTCTCTGTGTGCTGTGATTGCATGGAGGGTGTTTAGTCTTACTTTAAGCAAACTAGTGATGCAGTTGAGTGTGCCAAAATGGACCAGGTTCCTGTGTATGACCAGGAAAGATTCGCCAAGCGTACGCCTTGTAGTATGTAGCTATGCATATGGAAGATCTCGGACACAAGCAGGAACAGGCAAAAGGGCAAAGTGGAGCAAAAGAGCTTTGTGACTCAAGCCCCCTGTATTTATAGGGTCCAATACCCATTGGTTGGTTCTAGGTGCCACCCATCGGCTCTCTTTGCTGATGTCCGTGATCTGCTTGACCCCCTACCCTTAAGCCTGAATAATCATCAGGGTGGTCTTGTGTTTGTGGTTGAAAGGAGCAAACTGAGGTGACTTGCACAACTTGCGTGTTTTAATTGCGGGAGCATGGATAGCCATTAGGGATGGTGTAATGTTCACAGTTGAACAAATGGAAGGGAGTGACTCAGCTCCTTTGTTCCTGACTGCACTATTAGGATAGCCTCCCCCTCACCACACACAGAGGCGCACATCTGTAATTTGACCGTAGGGATTTTTGGAAGCTTCGCTCTCTCCACTCCCAGCCTTCCAACGGGATTAAGTGATACAGGGATGGGTAGAGAGGAGACAAATACATTAACAAAACTCAGCTCAAAGGACGGCTTATTCAAGTGTCTTGTGGGTTCTATGCTCTGGTGATCTATGAAAAAGTAAACTTCCCAATCTTCACATTTGTGGATTTTTCCAAGGGCCTGGTGAAGTGGGAAAGCCCAAGATGAGTGAGCGCCTTTCAACAGACCTGAATGCCTAGAACAGATTTCCAAGCTGTGCTCAATGGCCATCATCAGGAAACCAGATAATAGCAAAGCTGGAGAGGCTGTGCAGAAAAGGAACCCTTCTGCATTGTCGGTGGGATGTAAACTACTTCGACCATTGTGGAAATCAGTGTGGAGATTCTTCAAAAATTAAAGTAGAAATTCCATTTGTCCCAGCCGCTCATTTCTAGGTATCTTCCTGAAAGACTGACAGACATGATATTATACTGACGCATGTGGACAAATGAAATAGCAGCACAAATCACGATACTTAAATCTTGGAAGCAGCCTATATGTCCATCCACAGATGGATGGCAGAAAAAAGTGCAGTATTTACCCACCATAAGTACAACTCTGCCGCAAAGATAAACTTGAATCATTTGTAGGAAAATGGATGCGCCTGGAGTCCCTAATGTTCAGTGAAGTAAACCAGACACAGAAAGAAATATGGTATGGTTCTTTTATTCAAGAAATCCAAGAGGGTGACTGAACAGCAAGATAAAACGCAGACCACAGGAAATCAAGAGATAGAGATCTTTTGCAAATGGGAAAGGGATCAAGAGATGGGAGGGAGGGAGGAGGTGGGGAGAAGGGATGGAAAATAATTAAGATGTGTTGTGCATATTCACCCACTCCCCATGAGGAACAAAAGCGTTATGTATTCCAAACATGTACTAACAAGAAAAATAAAAGCTGGGAAATGAAAAAGTGCCCACTGTAAACGAATTGAAGTTGAAGGTAGCATTTGGAATATGGGCACTGAGGGTCTTTCTTCCATGGCTTTTCTCAAAAGAATCCAAAGATCCAAAAAAGTTTAATAACAGTGGTCCTTCACTAAAGAGTTTTTAGCAGCAAAAGGGAGAATATTGCTAGGGGTGCTGTATTTTGGGCAGACGGAGGAACTCTGTGGACTGACTGCTGCCAAGGGCTGGGTCGGTTCCTACCCTGCAACCCATGACCCCATAACCTCTGTGCTCTGAGAGCAGGGTCGCCCTGTGCCCTGGGGTCAAAGACTGGCTTAAGGTTCTTGTGCGCTGCACAAAGCATCCAGACACTGCAGGGACACAGCTGGGACTGTAACCCTCTCTGGGATGGTCACTGTGTCTGAAGAGAGGAGTGTGGGCTGAAGAGAGGAGCCCAAATCTAGACTGTCAAGGGCACAGCTCTTTAGGGAAGCCAGACATGCCTCATGTCCAAGAGGAGAAGAGGAGGTGGCCGGTTCCCCAGGACTTCAGGAGGAGCAAACCCTCCCCAACTCTAACAAAGCACCACTCCGATTAACTGGCTTCCAACAAGGTGACTCACTGGGGCTTTGTCTCTACCAGACTTTAGTTATGTTAAAATGCAAACTACTAAAGTAATTTAGCAACTTGTGCTCTTATTTCCTGAAGCCTCAATCGCCAGCTAGTTTTAGTATGAGCAACGTATTAGTAAAACTGGTTGCCAGTGTGCTGAGGACCAAGATTAGGGCCTAAGCAGGTATGGGAGTCTAGTTACAGAATAGGGAAAGCCCAGAGAGTAAATAGATACTTTCATTTTTACTGAAGTACGTCTTTGCTCACCCCTAAATCGAGGGTTTCCGCCTAAGTCAGAAGCATGAAGCACCCCCTGCCAAGCAGAAACAAGGATCGGTGCAGTTCTCAGATGCACCACCGTGGTCTTGCTAGTTTCTCCAACACAGAGTCAAGGTGAGCAGAGGGGGCAAATACGGCCCAGGCAAAACAAGATGGGGAACTTTCCAGGTTCACCAGCCCACATTCTACGCCTCCGTCAATGAGGGGTAGCAGTGGGAAGATAATGCAGGAAGACCCACACTGATGGTGGTGGTGGTGATGGCTATAGCGGTGTGTGTGTGTGTGTGTGTGTGTGTGTGTGTGTGTGTGCTCGCATGTGTGTGTTTGTCAGAGTTGGGTTAAGAGGCCTTTGATTCCCCCTGAAAATGCACCGTTGGGTTTGCTGTTGACAGATTCTCTGAGGGAGATTCATGTTAGTGTTTACCTGCAGTTGAAAGTCCACTGAGCCCACCCAGAGTGCCCTGTGGTGTTTCCCCATAGGCGATGTGGCTCTAGCGTGAAGATTTGGATTCACACTGAGCCGGTGACCATTTATTCCTGAACTCATGCTTTCCCAGGGGAGGTAGCCTTGGGTCTGACAGCCTGGGCTAAGAGGAGCAGGTGAGTGGAGCAGCGTTCGCAAGCTTCCTTCTGGGGTCCTGAAGAAAGTCATTTACAAACACCGCTGTGCCTGCTACTGGAAGCACTGGGCAGAATCAGACAAGGAGTGTGGCATAGAGTGAGGTGATTTTGTATCCTGTTTCCCCAGCTACAAAAGAGGAACAAGGCAGCAGGAAGTTGGGCAATCAGTAGTTTGACAGGAAACCTCATGTAACGTTTGAACCCGCAAAGGAGACCTTGGCTCACCACTTGAGGCAGATCTGGCCACTGAGATTTCCAGGGCCTCCGAAGATGACCTTGACTGAGATCTTGTTTCTCCATTCAGTTCTCCCCCAAGGCTCTAACTTCAGCTGGGTTCCTACCGATCATGACAAAAGCTCTAAAGGACATGGAGAGGATGTAGAACTGGACAGTTGGTCTGTAGCATCTGAACAAGAGAGCTTATTCCAACCGAAAGGCCTCCCTGCAAGACTGGCTGTCAGGAACCCAGCTACTCAGATCCAAGTCCTAACTAGAACCCTAACCCCCCCAGACTGGGGGAGTTCAGCCTACACTAAAATAAGCTGATGAGGGGAAGGAGAGCTCCTAAGCTTGTTAGCTCCTGCTCTGTGCCCGAGAGAATGAAAAAAATAATTTCAAACCTTGAAAAAGGCAAAAATGGTGATTCTTATATTCTTCTCTCATGGCAGAGTTGGTGGAGATAAATGTAATTCTTGCTACTTGTCATTATTGGACATGAGAAAAATAGTTGGCAAAGAATGTTCGATTAACAACTTAAAACAGACAAAGAGGAGATAATTACTATCTGCTCCACAGTGTAATCTAGTTTTATAGTCTGGCCAATTGGTTAAACCCCAAACTGTCACAGAATTGATCACCCTGTGAAGAATCTTACAACAAATTTAAAAATCATTCCTTTTCAGCTGGGCATAGTGGCGCACGCCTGTAATCCTAGCACTCGGGAGGCTGAGGCAGGAGGATCACTGTGAGTTCGATACCAGCCTGGGCTACATAGTGAGTTCCAGGTCAGTCTCAACTACATAGTGAGACCCTGCTCAACAAATAAAACAAAACAAGCAAACAAACAAAAAATCATTCCTTTTCAGCTGGGCATAGTGGCGCACGCCTGTAATCCTAGCGCTCGGGAGGCTGAGGCAGGAGGATCACGGTGAGTTCGATACCAGCCTGGGCTACATAGTGAGTTCCAGGTCAGTCTCAACTACATAGTGAGACCCTGCTCAACAAATAAAACAAAACAAGCAAACAAACAAAAAATCATTCCTTTTCTGTTTTGTATATTCTGAAATATTATTAAAATCTTCTTTTTAACAGAAAAAAATTCTTGCTGGCTTTCTTATTCATGAACTAAAACAAAAATTTGGACGTGGGCTCACTACGTCTGTTGATAATTTTTTGGCTTTTCAGCACAGAACACTGTAGTAGTTGATCAATCTATTTTGTCTCTTCTGAGAGAGGTGAT